AGACAAACTGCAGGTGTTGTGGATTTATTAATGTTGCCAAAAAAATCATTGAGTTTGGTTTTGTAAGACTTAAAGATGCATTCTGTTGTGTCACTTAACACATGCAGCCGTGTGACTCGTGCATGCCAGAAAGTGAAATTGCAAGCAGCACAGATAAAAAAATGTTTCCAGGCTATGCCAGTTTCTCACAGTGGTTCTCACCCAGCCTACAAAACAACTCATGCCAAACGACTATTACTACAAATGCCAGTAGCTGCTTTAACAGTGAATGGGCGTCATAGTAAAATTACATATTTATGCAGTGCTACAGCTGATATAACCATGCTTAAAGCATTGTTAGACAGACCAGCCAAACAGAATGAAACTTTTGGCAGTGGTCTTTCAAAAAAACAATTTAAGGAACTAATTGCAATGTGCGATTCTGACAAACAAAGGGATTGTTTGCGTTATGCAGTTAGGCAGGCGAGTGGTGCTTCAGCAACGACCATGAGAAAGAAATACGGTGTTGAAAACTACAACATTAAGTCAGAAGAAGTGAAAGATGCTATAAATCACGTATATGAAATTGGCCAAGGTATTGAACATCTGGCCAACATAAAAGAGGAAGCGATCCTTATGACCCTGGGCTTACCAACGTTTGAGGATTCTGACTCAGATTCTGAAGGTAGTGAGGATGATACTGATGCCGAAGTTTTGAATAATGGAGAAGAAATTGGTACACCGGCACCCACCGTAGAAATTAATCAAAATGTGTTAATGGAACTTCTCGTAAAAAGTCAGTTCAATTGGATTGCTTTATCTGAAATGTTAAAAGAAGATATTGCTGGTGTAAACGAAAACAACTTGAGTACAATATTATCTGACTTGCCGCAAAGAGTTAAAACATTGAAACTAAGTGAAAGAGAACTTCACTTAATTACTGAAAGTAATCAGGCTTATGATGAACAGGAAAAAGACAATCAGAAAGCTATGGACATGGCTGGAGGCATAGTACTTTCAGATGACGACGAAATCGAGGATCCCATTAATTGGAGTAACATTGAAGATCCGCTTTGCAGCGAAGGCAAGCAGCTTTTGGTAAAGAAATTGAATCAAATCGAAGAAAACAGAGAAGAGACATTAAAAAGAGAGTAGAAGAGGAAAGAATTTTAAAACGGAGAAGGAGCAAAAATGTTGGTAAAATATTAAAAGAATGTCCGAATATCGGAAAGGAAATAGAAGAGTTTGTTTAAAAATCCGGGGTTGGTGCAGACACGTGGAGACGAACTGGCGTCCTTACGTTCGACGGAAACCGAAAGGTAAACAAAAAAGTTACATTTAATAGAATTAAAGAACACGTTGAAGTTAAGTATGGTAGAAAATTCAGTTACGGTAGTATTGTGCAACTATGCGTTACAAGAAATGCCAGAAGAAGGAATGCAAGAAACTATAAAGGAGTCGCAAAGATAACATGTAGACGCTCTCGAAAGGGGTTTGATCTCAAATTTAACCCAGACAGCCACTGGTCGAGTGCATTATATCAAGGGTTAGATTATATTCAGTATACTACAACAGCCGACAAGCTGGTACTAAACAGAGACGACTTATCAGTCTTTCGCCTTGACTCGAATGCAACAAGTAATAAATGCGCTTCTCTGTGCGTCAAAGGAAAGCAATCTTTGTCCACAAAGACGGATTACCAACAAAAATATCCATGCACAATACAGACAATATCGTATAATTTCACGGAGAGTAATGATGAAGGGGAATTGTGTGCTGGCGTTGTGAAAGCTTCACCGTTACATAAGAAGAATCCAGCTCAGCATGCAGTCGACTTAGAAATGATTCAAAAGCAAGAAAAGTTTGCAGTTAAGTTCAACAAAAGATCAACGGAACTTCCAAAAGACATAGAGTGCATTCGGGTTGACAGTGGAGGTGATGAAGCCCCCTGCATAGAGGAGGTGCAATTTTGGTGGACTAGAAGGCATTTCCTACGGCCTACACACATGCAGTTGGTTACTAGTAGGCACAGCGGTGGCAGTAACTTAAACCGTGTAGAACTTCAGAACGGATGCGAAGTAAAGGCAAGGACAAATCTGTTCATCCCTTCCACACTAAATGGTTTGAATTGCGACAAATCTGGCAAAACCGACAATGAGAAGTTGAAAAAGAACTTATCAGATGCTATTGACGTTTACGTATCAAGAGTCGACCAAGCCCCGTGTGGAGACACTGTTATAAACCTGTTTAAAGGAGTCGATTCAGTTTTGCATCAGACTTTAGGTGGCTTTGTAAGGACTTTTTTAAATGGCTCGAAGCAAGAGAAAGCAAAGTTGGAGCAAGAGCACCCAACTGAGTACAAGCACATTCAATTGATCTGGAATATCCGAAACGCCCATTTGAATAAATCTGTGCCAACAAGATATATTTTCCATCTTGTTTGTTGTTATGGAAAGGAATGCCCACACCCAATCTGTCAAAAAGGCAAACCCAATCCCTACCCTTGCTGGTTTCCAGGTGGTCCAACAATTGATACCATTCCACTCCCTGTAGCAGATCCCGATCGTCCATATGGATCTACCACATGTTCGTCTTGTACAAACTTGTGTTTCGGACACTATTTGCCTCCAGAGGGCCTCATTAGGCTAACCCTTGAAGGTCAAACTCCAGCAAGTGTACCGCCTTCTGAAGTACTCAAGAAAGAATTGAAAAAGAAGGGAGAAAAGATTTTGGACACAAATTCCTGTGAAGAACTTGCGAAAAAAGTGCTTCTTAAGCCTTCTGAAGTGTTGTATTGGCTTGAACATTTGCGATCTGTTCAGGAACACCGCAAAGAAGGTGCAAAGAAAGCAGCAGAGACACGAAAACAAAAAAGAAAAGCCGCTTCCAAGGTAAACCACAGGTTTATTAGTTTACTGTGATGTGTAAGCCTAGTTAAATAAAGTTGCCTACCTACTTACAACTTACCCACCTACCTACCTACCTAAAAATAACTAAATTTAAGTAAATTAATATTGAAATGACACATAATTAATTGGTGCCATATATTTAAGGGAAAAGACAGTATGAACGTCAAATGTGGTAAATGTTTTCAAGAAAGCAATAATAAATCTACGCCTGATGATATGGGGATTTCTTGTGATGAATGCAAGACATGGTTTCACATAGATTGCGTGTCAGTTGATAACACAGATATCGAAGGCATATGGTACTGTAACAATTGTTTGCAGAAATTATTTTGCCAGGCGTGCTTTCAAGCAGATCCTTTTGAGGAGAATGGTGAAGATGGCGAAGAGGAAATTTCCTGGGTGCAGTGTGATAATTGTGAAAGCTGGTATCACGTTGCATGTGTTGAACCTGTTGACACTTCAAAAGATTGGTTGTGTATGACATGTAAATAAGCTGTAAAACGTTATGTTGCTATTAGAAGACAATGGCTTATGTTCTCAGCTAAGCACCCTACGGGGCAAAAAACACTGATCCCACTGCTCCACAGAGCTGAGCAATGTTTTCTTACCCACATTGTTGACACTTGTGAACAGCAGCGACATTGTTGAGCCTGAACCAGACAATATTGTTCAATGTTGTTGACAACTATGAACAATATGGGTAGCAAAACATTGCTCAATCCTGTTTTCATCAGCGCTGCAACAACCTGATCGTTTTTTTGCCATGTACCAAGGGACAAGAATAATGTAGAGCAATACCTAACATTGAGCAAACTACGGTACTATACTCTACTGTAAACGGCCTCTGTGCAATTAACCTGTTCCAAAATTATCTTAGTTGATAGGGTCAATTGCGTTTAGATTTATTTTGCTATTATATTCACCTGTTGCATATTTTGGATAATATACAAGTAAAACCTGCGTGTGAGAACTTAACAGTTATTAACTTTTAACTCATATTTTAGGTGTGGTGTGCAATTCAAACAGAATTGTGCCAATTATGACAGTATGCACCCTTATTACCAAACCTAGCTGATTATTGTTTTTAATGACTTTATTTTCTTCACTTTGGTATAGAAATGTTATAAATATTAGATCTATAAGAGTGAGAAAACAAAAACGTAATTTGAAATTTTGCCCAGAAGTTCATCTTTAATGGTTTTAAAACCTGGACTAAGTTCTTATATTCAGGGTTTTACACTGTAACATTATCATTTAATACTATTACTAAGCATTCTTTTTGAACAATGGTCATATTATTGTATCTTTGAGAAAAATCAAGGTTTATAGCTTTTGTGAGTCGTTGTCTAGAGTTACTCTATAAAATGCAACCAGCAGAAGTAATGTTCGTGCGCTAATAAGGAGCTTTCCATACTTAACCCTAACCTTACCCTAACCGATCATTGCTGAAAGAAATTCAGATTTCAATAAAACTTTCGCTTTGTGAATGTTCAACCTCGTTCCCAGGGCCTTGGTGGGGAGGGGGCGAGGTGGAGAGAAGGCCCTGGCAAAGGCTGAGCTAAAATGCTTTGTGATTGGTTGAAGCAATTTAACTCGTTTTGTTGTTAACGACGTTGTGATTGGCCAATAGTATAAAAACCCGCGAAATATTTTTCAATATGGCGAAGCTTAACAGTGAAAACATCTCGGCGCACACGCCAAAAAAAGTGTATGTATCAAGTGATTTTATCGATGGTTGTCGCCTTTGTGGAAACAAAAATGATAGGATGATTAATGTCTTTCATAAACCTGGCCAGAAGAAGAAACTCGTCGAAGTTATTGCTGATACGCTCGGCGTTTCGATATGCGAGAATGACCAAATGTCGCCACTCATTTGTCGATGTTGTGAACGGAAAATTACGAAATTCATTGAGTTCAAGAACGAAGTGCACAATTTCCAGGATTGCATACATTCACGATTTTCAGTTAAGAGGTGCATCATACCCACTGAAGAAACTAACAAGAAGCGCATAACGACGAACTCGACGACAACTATTGATACGCCATATGCTGCCAAACAACTAGGATTGTTACCGACGTGTCATACCGGTGGTCAGACCAATTGTAATACGAAAAGCCACGAAATGGTATACTTGGAGATTGACCCACTTTCACTTTGTAATAATAATACAAGTGTGAGTAACAATTAACTGCCTTTTTCGAATTCAGTATGTATTTATATTTATATTACTATAACGTTTGGGCTGATCAACGTTCTATTATAAATGACTATTAGATACGTGCATTTAATATGTGATGCGTTACATTAAATACATAGAAATATACATATTCATATCTAATTAAATAATTATCACATCATATCAATATTAAGAGTTTTACACAGGCAGCCCCATGTGTTTAATGTTTCTAACATGTGTTATTATAAACTTTTAGACATCTGTCAGTGGAGTGCCCCTCAACGCACTTCAAATTGAGAAGTTACACCGAGCACTCAAATCTAGATTCCCTACCCACATTGGGCAATGTGCAATGTCTATTAAGGAAATTAAACAAGCATGTCAGGAAATATTGCTAAAAGAACTTGATGAACAATGTAAGGAACTTTGCTTAAGAAAAAACCCTTCTGTGTTACGAAATAATGGTTTTGATGACATAGTTAAATTCGATTGGCTGAATATTGTATACGAACTGCAGAAGAGATGTCCATTTCTTTTGAGTGTTTTAAATACTGTCACAGCAAAAAAGAAAACACAGTCAGAGCTCGCACCTTGTATTGGTATGGCATATGCTATATTGATGATACAACGCAATCATGAGTTAAGTCTTGTTCAAAGGATCAATACCTTGATCATGGCAGAAGGAAATGCAAAAAAACAGGTAAAATATCTATTGTTGCAAGTGTTTAAATTGTCAGGTTCACATAAATTATTAAAATCTCTAGTACAATGATAGTGAATATCTAAATATCATAATACGTACAGTGAATGCAAATTTACAACACTACAACATTATCAAAATTTTAGTTATATACCAGATGCCAAAAGGTTGGATTTGCATTATCACATCAAAGCAAAGTCAATTTGCTAGATGAAATTGGAGGTCATTTTGCAGATGAAGCAATCACAATGGTAAAGAATGGTTGCAAGATGCAAGGGACAGGTGACAACTGGGATTTTCGAATATTATGTCATGATATGAGAAAGGATCATCAGAACAAAGATATGCATTATTTTGCATCAAATCTTCTTTTTGAACGAGTTCCTATACCAGACAATTTGTCCTTATCTCCTAAACATGATATTAAAACTTTGGAAAACAGTTCATTTTTATTAAGTGTTGCTGAAAGCAAAAAATTATTGGAAGATTATAAAGTTATTATAAGCAGGATATTGGTTCAATATCTGCCAGCTTTTGGTGCTTTCAAGACGATTGTTCCAACCCATATTGACCATGTATACCAGGATGAGATGTCAAAACAATCCGTAATTGTTCCATTACCTATACAAATGAAAGATGAAAAGAGCTATGCTGACACTGTTGACATCCTAAGTTCATATGAAGATGCAATTGAAGATATTTATTCCAGAGCTGGTGTGATTCAGAAGCCCAAAAAGGACAATCAGATAATTCTCCTGAAAACGGCATTTCATCTGGGCATTCACGACCAGAGCAACCTGGAGCTCATGTTACAAAGGAGGACAACACAGATCATATGCAAGGCATATCAGTTCCATTTGGTGGTGACCAATTAACAAGAGTCCGGTTTGCTGGTGCTAAGGATCTTCGAGCAGGCGCACACACCGCAAAGGACAGATTTGATCACTGTAGCCCATTTAAGATTGAACTTTGGCATACTAAAGCATCATATCTGCAGGTGAAATTGTGTTAACATTAACCAATTGATGTACAATGCATCCCAGTGGGTCCTTATTTTTCTTGACAAATGCCATATGATATTACTTGGAAGCCCCATGGCTTAATGGGTTTGTTTCACCATATTTTGTAAATATGTGTTTTTTTTACATTTATAGTTTGTCTTTGATTTGCTCTTTGATTCCTGTTCTGTAAGAGAATCTGGAACATTAAAATTTTTCCGAGAGAAATATTCACGGAAGAATGTCACGCCACAGAAGGTACTCGATTCATACGAAGGCTGTGAACAATTTTTTCTGAGTGTTGGAACAGCATATATATTAGAAGCTGCACTTCAATTCTGGGGTATGGCCGATATCAATTCAACTCCCACAACCAACACACTTCCTTCCAATCTAAAAAGCAAAGATCAGAAAAGGGAGTACTTTGATAATGTTGTTGAGTCATTTATCAGAAATTATGTGAGTAATAACACAGAAAATAATGAAGGGGATATTTTGGATTCATCAAGTGATTCAATTAATGAACCAGATAGAGTGAGGTATGCTGTAGTACATATAAATATGTGTATGCAATGATAAAATAATGTTTACTTGAAATGTTTGATATGGCCAAAACCCTCCACCTCACCAATTAGAATTGTTGATTATTAAACAGCTTAATTTTGGTATTTTATCATCAGATTTAGGACTTGTGTGATTTTGGCTCCAATGTGTATATGAATTTTTATCTGTTAGTCTTAATACTATATAAATCTTTATGCTTCTCATAGATACTATGGACTTAACGTTGTCGAACTTGCTGTATTTCTAATGCAGTTAATTGATACAACAGCCGAGGGTGATGGAGAAAGGTGCAACATAAATATTAAACAACTGTTGCTCTACTTCAAGTCTTCAACCAAATTTACAAAATATGCATTGGAGATGTTCACTGCAATTGCCCAATCTGAGGCATTGTTTTCTGAGCAACTTCACCACCGTGTAACTTGGGGACGCTTTGTTAACTGGAATGGTGGCCGTGGTAACAATGTTGAATGTGATCTCACACAAGAGATATGCAACAGAATAAGTAAATCAGTAGTAAAAAGCATGGGAGTCAACAAGACAGAAAAAAACTTAACAAGAGTCTCAAAAGCATCAGCAGGCCTGCACAGAATTGTCAACCAATTTGACAATGTCACACATGTTCATAAACCCTCACAGCACCATTCAACAAGAAGTTCTCAGGATGACGAATTAATGATGCTTAAAGATCTTCGTAAATTAAACCCTTTCAATTTGAACCCTGGCCGATTCCATAATTCATTTAAAGATATTGAAATCTCGCCACTTGTTAACATAGATTTTGCTCAATTACATGCATGGATAGATGACCATAAAAAAAAGATTGGTTATAGGAAAGGACAAAACCAAAACAAGCAAGTATCATAATTGAACTGGTGATTGAATGAGCCAACTGTACTTGTTGTGTAGTTTACATTAATATTGTACATATATGACTACATGATAATCATTGTAAGGTTGGGAATTTGACAGGTTTGTATGCATGCATACTGTAACCTCATGCAAGCTGAGGGCTTATTCTCTTCAAACCAAAAAGGGAGCTTATTAGTGAGTGGGTTAGAAGAGAGGGGCTGATGTTTATCAATCCATGCCAAACAGTGATAATTTAGGCAAAGAACATAGCTAGAAGACAGTTGTATAAGGAGGGGGGGGGTTACTATAGAGGGGACTAAATATATAGATTATGGTATTCATAAACCACATGCTCTTGAGTTAACATTTTGGATGGTATATATTTGATTCCAACAAAAGTAGAGGGCTTTGGCGTTTAGCTACGTAGCTATATGGTAATTCATTTCAGTTCTCGGTTTCGTACAAGTATATGTTTAATAATAAATCAATGTGTAAATAAACATGCAACGTTTATGAATCGAAATAAAATACACTTACCGAAAAGTATTACTGAGTACATTGTTTTATAATATTCATTATATTTTCCGCATGAGATTCTTCCCAAACAGGATAAGAACTTAATATATCATTCTCATTTTCAATATATTCACAGTTTGCAACAATATCTTTAATAAGAGCAAGGGTGAATCCAGTCCTCAAGTCGATACCTCCAAAAATTTTATCACAAAGGCCAAGTCTGTATGCTTGTAACCTTTCTTTAATTTCTCGTCGCTTAGAATCGCTGACCACACGAACTGGTTTGGGAACGGAAGATTCATCAAATGAAGAATGTAGATTCTCTGTTGTGCATGTCAAATATTGTACGGGAATACACTTTGAACATTGGCAAATCTCGGCACAATTTGAACAGCATTCGTGTTTCGAAATGTCACAAGACGTGTCCGAGTTCAGGTAGTTCATTATATACTTTCTCATACAACCACTTCGTAATAGACAATACTCTCGCATTTCGTCAGTTAAACCAGGTTTGTTTGAAGCGATATCCGTTCCATTATAATAAAGATAAGCTCTTGCAGGATAACCATCACGCCCTGCTCTCCCGATCTGCTGATAATAACTTTCCAACGTCCGTGGTACTGTCACATGAATTATTTGTCGCACGTCAGGAATATTTACTCCGAGCCCTATGGCAACAGTTGCAAAAATAACTCTGATTGTCTTAAGGTCATAGCAAGGGTCAGTCAATTGTTCTAAGATCATTTTTTTCATTGCATCCGTTTGAGGAGAATGATATTGTGCAAACAGGCAATGTTCTGGATTCCCGGCCGACGTTGTCGGGTAGTAGCTCTCCTTGCCCAATATGTCAACAAAGTAATTAAACGCAAAGCCGCACCACTTCAACGGTAAATATATTATTGTTAGTGGGAAATCGACTAGCTGTTTCTTTAAATCGTTTGCAATTGGGCGTAGTATTTCTTCAAAACTTTTAGATCCTGATTTTGAAGGTTTCCGTTTACTTTTGCAAAGAAAAATATTTTGCCTATCCAGTGCTCCTATTACCGTGACTGGCGCTTTCATGTTAAGACTTTTAACAAGCATATCTCTTGTTTTTTTTGGAGCTGTGGCTGTAAGAGCAAGAATTGGTGCACATGGGAACAAAGAAGCCAAACGACAAAGTTTGCTATAATCCGGCCTAAACTCCTGTCCCCATTCATCTATTAAATGGGCCTCGTCAATAACACAAGCGACAATCCTCTCTTGATATTCCTGTAGTAATACATTTTTTGAAACTATCTGCTCGGGGTGAGCAAATAAAATTCTGCAATCGTTACACATATCATCAAGGTTTTGGTTAAAAGGTTCAGCTTGTTCACTTTCAGAAGAATCAGTGTCTGGATCCGATGCTGCAATATTTCCAGACCTTACTGATCTAGAAGCAGCATCATCTCGATTGCCGTCGCATAAATCTCCTCGTAAATCTCTTGCGTTAATTCCCCTCTTTCTCAAACTGCATATCTGATCATCTATAAGCGAATTTAAAGGTGCGATGACGATAACAGCAGTTGTACCATTAGTTTCTCGTTTGCCATATTCAAGTAAAAATGGCAACACATGAAAAATAACAGACTTTCCATATCCAGTTGGAAGGACTGCGACCACGTCTCTTTGTTGGTACAAAGCTTCTAAAATCTTTATTTGCTTAACTTTGAGAAAAATGTTTGAATACCCGGAAGAGTCAAAAGCATACCGCAATGCATTTAAAAAAGTTGTCATAATTTATACGTTGAAATTGCAACAAACTCTACTCCTTTGCACTACTTAGTCTTACAGAATAGTAATGAGCTACAAAATTTGGCGCGAAAATTTTCCAAATATATTGGAAAATTTGGTCACGTGATACCAGCCTTTGCCAGGGCCTTCTCTCCACCTCGCCCCCTCCCCACCAAGGCCCTGGGAACGAGGTTGGTGAATGTTGTTCAAAATTCGAATTCAAACAAACATGCGGCTATGTGCCAGCTGTTTAGTGAAGATAGTAATCTATTCCAAGCGTAACCACTCTTCCATAGGCTTACAGGAGATGAGTTATGGGAAATGCAAGCCTAGTTGCCTGACTATTAACTAGAATTGCCACCCATAGCTACACTACACCCCACTAAACCAAAATCCAAATGGCCCCTTGGGCCATGCACTGTCTCATTAGTGTACATGCTGAGCAATTTCAAATACCTCACCAGCCTAGCCTGTGCCGCAGAACCGAGGAACAGCGAACTAGATGTGGCATAATAAGGAGTTGTTGCACGATAGAGAGATCCTGTACCCAAATCAACTTGCATGGTGGCAATGCTGGAACGATCTGGGCTGTTAGATATGGCACAAAGTTTTCCGATGGTGGCATCTACAATCCCGGATGTGAGACGTGATGGACAATCACAAGGGCCCTTCTTGCGAGACCTCAAAACTTACAACGCTGCCCATGAACGACCGGCTGTCCTTTTTGGTCTTTCCATACAAGAAAATGGACGATATTTCACACCTTTGCTCCAGAGCAAAAGGAGTTTGGTTGAAATTGGGTGACTATTTGGGACATTTCTTGGTTGTGAAACTGTTTAATTTTTCACACCGCCCAAGTCGGTTCCAAACCTTTAACCCCCCCAACTATTATTTATTATATTAAACTAATAATTTTGTGTATGTTTCATCATTGATCAAAGTTCCTAATTAAAATGTCAATTATTGCAGACGAAGTTTACATACTCGTCAACTCAACAAAAAAACTGTACAAAACTAATTTATATTGGCTACCCCAAAAACTCAGTTAGAAAAACTCAAATTTTGAAATGAAATGACCAGGCAGGGCTTTTCGAAAAATGACGTATATCTTTTACGTATATCTTTTACGTATATCTTTTACATATATTTTTAAGTAATTTGGTATACTATATTGTATGTTAAGAAATGGATTATACTAATAATATGTAATTAATTGCTGAGGAGCGAGCGAGCCTGAAACGAGCAAGCGTAGCAGCAGTCTAATTGGCGCAGTAGGCAGTGAAAGCAAATATTTAGGGTTGCGTTGCATTGTGGTTGTGCGCAGTGACGCAGTTGTATCAGGCCTGTTTGTATGCGCAGTTGTGCACAAATTAATCTCACGTTTCAGTGATATGGATTAAATACCAATATGGATTAAAAGTCAAAGGTTCAAGTCTGGAAGAGGTACCAGATTTAACATACATTCCGTTCTTCATTCCCCTTTGTTTTCATTTATTATAAGGTTGACAGTTGTTTGTCATTTTGCCTGATTTCTACTGTAATTTGCTTTGATTCACTATATAAATATTGGCGCATTGATGTCTAGATTTTTCGTTTAGGATATCGTACGACGCGCGATATACAGTATTGACTATCTAATCGTATTTTAAGTATTGTTGATTGTTTTGCCTGTTTAAACTTATTTTGACTCACGCCTGTATTTAAAGATCACTCACACTTACACTCAATGAGTGTCCACTCACACTGAATGAGTGTCCACTCACACTCCAACTTTTCAAAGACACCACTCACACTCAAGTGAAGCTCAGATTTTGAGTGAAGTGTGAGTGAGAGGCATACGTCCCTTGAGCTACACTCAGTTATACTCAGTTGCAGTTAGTGATTCAAATATGGCGGAAAGGTGGTTAAGAAGGTTAGAATTGCTGGATAATGTCTCAAGAAACAACAGAGATAGGCGGAGACCATATATTTTTGATTATGGGAAATATGACGAGAAGCAGTTCCGTGGCAGATACCGAATAACTAAGGCCGGATTTCGAGAGTTACCGGAGATAATTAGGCCAGAAATACCTGCACACAATGATCGAGGGAAACCTATTCCTGCAGATATTCAAACTTTGTTGACGCTCAGGTTTTACGCTACGGGAACATTCCAGCTAGCATGCAGAGATTTGTGCGAAATTTCGCAGCCATCAGCAAGTTGAATTATAAAGCGAGTATCCAAGGCAATCGCACGTTTAAAAACAATTACATAACTTTTCCTGAAGGTGATATGTTGGATCAACTTAAACTAGATTTCTAGAGAATTTGTGCATTTCCAAGTGTTGTGGGTGCAATTGACGTACACACATAAAAATACTATGCCCGAGGGGTGAAAATGCTGAACTATTTAGAAATCGAAAAGGATACTTCTCAATAAATGTTCAAGCGGTTTGTGGGCCAAATTTAGAAATTTTAAACATTGTCGCTCGTTGGACCGGTAGCGTACACAATGCTAGAATATTCGACAATAGTCGCATATGTGCACAGTTTGAACGTGGTGATATCCCAGGTATATTACTTGGTGATAGCGGTTATCCATGCCGCCAATATCTAATGACACCAGTAATTGATCCGCAGACCCGACCGGCATGCAGGTATAATGTGGCTCAAATACGTACACGAAACACAGTGGAAAGGATGTTTGGGACATGGAAAAGGATGTTTCCACGTGTTTCGACAACACTTCGCACAAAACTGCAAACGTCCCTAACTATAATTGTCGCTACAGCTGTGTTGTATAACTTCGTAAGAAGCCGAAATGATCCCATAGATGAACCAGATCATATTCTGGCTGATGAGGAAGCATTAGATGATATGCATGCTGATGAAAGACGTTTGGGAGATGCGGTTTGGCGATCCCTGATAATGCGACATTTTACGTAAATTATACATATTGTATTCATATTGATGACACAATTAATATACATGTATACTAAACTATTAAATACAATATACATCATTGATCTTTTGTTCTCTAATTACACAACTTCATAATGGCCAGAACAAGCAATATATAATATGCTCGTTCAACCATTTTCTATTTTTAGGGCTTTTTTGTTGTTAATTTTGCTTCCTAGCCCGTGTCTTTGGTTTCTGTTGCTGCTCTTGTGTGGATTTAATTGAATTTGTCATCGATTCCCAATATTGCAGTTCAGCACTTCCATTTTCCTTGTGTGTTCATTTATTATATTTTGTTTTTTTAACACCAAGATCTCCATCTCTGCTTCATGCTGCTTGCTTTGCATGTCCAAACAACGTGCTTGGGCAGCGAATATTTGAGGTTTTCTTGTGAATGATGGTGTGAGGGCAGCGTCAATGACAGATGGCGGCAATTCTTTTTCGTTCGGTGCAGTGACTTCACCTGAAGGTGTCGTCTCGAAATCAATTTCATTTTCATCGCGATCAAATGCTATACATTAAACATCCAATAAAGTCAATTACATGTTATGTACAAATTTGAAAGTAATTGGAAATTAATTGAAGACATATACCATGGTATAACACCTACATGCATAGCGATTTTGCATTGTCTCACCTACTTCAAAATTATCATCATCAAATACATTATTTAAGCTGTCGATTTGGGTTGGAATTATAGAAGCAACAGCCGCAGCTTCATCGTCTTGTTTCGACGATGATGGACCGCCACCAGTTAACTTAACGTCTCTCTTCTCTCTCGCCAGTTGTTTTTTGCACGAGCCTTGACGTTTTCCCAACACTTTTTTAACTGCTTTGCATCCCTCTTCGTCACACCTGACTGGGAATTGAATTGTTCGGATACAGCCTCCCACGTTTTATTTTTCTTGTGTATGGTTTTGTAATCATTCTTTTTATTTTCTAGACGATCTTTGTGCTTTCGCACTAATTCAGTTAACAGCGACCTTTCCAATTGCGAAAAGTATTGTCTACCTTCAGCCATCTTAATCAGTAACATCGTACGAACGCATTGACAAGACTAACAACAGTCTTACTAGTCTATATACCTTCCATCATTCATTAATATTCAACATCAAAGCCAAACTCCAGCAAGTCACACTCGAGTGACGTCTTTGAATTCAAATCTGCCTAATATTTTCAAGGGTGAGTGACCCTTCATTGAGCGGACACTGACACTCTCATTCCACTCTCACTCACACTTCAGTTCCACTTAAGTGCATCTCACTTGAGTCCCACTCAAGTGTGAGTGTGAGTGAGCTTTTAGAATACAGGCGTCAGTGTTGATAATCCAAGTTTATTTCTTTATCTTTGTCATTGTGCCTCGTGTTTCATCGTTACAGTGTGCCTGGGCAGTCTGCCGAATTCGAATTTCATTTATTTGAACCATTAAACTGTTTGTATTCTCGGTTTCATTTGCACTACGGGTACTGCGCTTAATTCAGTGTGAGGTTTACTAGGGGTAAAAAGCTCAGTAAAAGCTGCAATTTAGTGTTTAAAATAAAAAATCCAAGTGTTATGTTTTACATATTTTTCATTGTAGCTCGTGTTTCGTTGTCGATTGCCGCATGTAAATACAGTAAATGAGTAGCAATTCTTTGAAAGAACTGATTATATCTTCGATTTCATTTGCACCTCTGCGCTTGATAGTATTTCCTATTTTATCTTATTGTTAGACCACAGTTTAGTTTGATAATCGAAGTTTATTTTTACATCTTTGTCATTGAGCCTCGTGTTTCATCGCAGCAAACTCTCGTGTTTCATCACAGTCAAATACAGCAAACGAGTATAGCAATTCGTCACTTACATTATTATTTTGTTAACTTTAGAGTTCTACTCTTGAGAAATGTTGAATGCTAAAGCACGTGTTTTGCGTTGATATTTTTCCAATCCATATGGCATATCTTCATATTGACTTTACTGATTACAAGCAAAATTCCAAGTTTCAAGAAAAATTTCACCTTAACACATCCTTTGTTAAATTAGTTGCGACGTGATCATGTGACACATATTTCACAAATTTCAAC